GGAAAAAAAAAATCATGTGTCACTTTATGATTTTTTTAAGTCCAGATAATCTAATGTGAGTTGGGGGAGGAATGAGCCAAACATAACATTGAACGTTAAATTGGAGAAGTAGCCAGTGATACAGAGAAAACAGAAAGAATTCTTTAAGGATCCTGTGCTCGACCACATGCAAGTTGAAAACCATCTGAAACTGAGAGTTTTCTGAGAAAATACAAATCATCAGTTTGACCCCAGAAGAACTAGAAAACCCCAACAGACCAATAATCATGGAAGAAACTGAGTTTTCATAAAACTCCACTCCAAAAACCCCAGGTTTAGATAGCTCTTAATTTCTATCAAAGCTTCAAGGAAGAGATAATTCCAATGTTATTTAAACTGCACCAACTGTGCCAAATCACAGAGAAGGAAAGATTCCAGAGTAGTCTATGAAGCCAGCACAACCCTGACAAAAACAGCACACACACAGAAAAGAGATAAAGTACTACAAAAATCTCCTTTATGAATATTGGTGCAAAATTCATAAATTACTAGAAACAGATAGACTCACACAACATTATGTTTAAAAAATGAATATACCACAAGCAAGTGGGGTTATATTCCAGAGATATAGATTCAATATTAGGAGAACTATTAATATCATTGAACAAACTAACAGTTCAAAAGAGATGAAAAATCATATAAGCAGCTCCAAAAATGCTAAAAATACTTAAAAGGCATTTGATAAAGTTCAACATATGTCCCTGATTTTAACTCTTACTTAATAGGAATAGATGGGTATTGCTTAACATTTTATGTGTTTGTGTATGTATGTGTATATGGGTGTACAAAGACATACCTACAAGGAACAAGTGACCACCATTACCTTCATTCTTTAACACTTCCCTAGAAGTACAAGCCAATACAAAGTTTGAAAATGCGAGTTATAAAAGGAGGCCAGTTTATCAATTTAAATTGTAGATGATGAGATTGGCCATCTGGAGAAAAAAGAAGATAGTCCACTGAAAGACTATTAGAAATAATAATGGAATATACTAAGATGACTGCTAATAAGTATTAAGAACAAAAATGTATCGTTTTCCTGTATATAAACTTTAGCCTCTTTTAAAATATAATGGGGCTTCCCTGGTGGCGCAGTGGTTGGGAGTCCGCCTGCTGATGCAGGGGACACGGGTTCGCTCCCCGGTCCGGGATGATCCCACATGCCGTGGAGCGGCTGGGCCCGTGAGCCATGGCCGCTGAGCCTGCGCGTCCGGAGCCTGTGCTCCGCAACGGAGAGGCCACAGCAGTGAGAGGCCCGCGTACCGCAAAAAAAAAAAAAAAAAAAAAAAAAAAAAAAAAAAATATATATATATATATATAAAATGAAAAAAATATTTTTTATATCAGTAAAAGTGCTAAAAATAACTAGAAGTGAGTCTAACCCGAGGGGGCAGGAACAGCTCTTATTACTGCTGCTCACTCCTGGTTCTCAACACTTACTTAGAACAGGGCTTCACACATAATTATAGATATTTGTCGAGTGATGGAACTGCCTCACAGATCAATGAAACAAAAAAGTATATCTAGACAAAGACCCAAGGACGTTTACTATGTGGTGATGATAATAGTAATCACCAACATATAGTAATTCCCATGTGCCAGGCACTGTTCTGTGGCCCTCACCTGTAGCCTAACATGTGATCTATCGTGGAGAATGTTCTGTGTGCCCTTGAGAAGAAGGTGTATTCTGCTGCTGTTGGGTGGAGTGTTCTATATATGTCCATTGGGTACAGTTGGTCTATAGTGTTGAATATATCCAAGTCCTCTGTTTCCTTATTCATCTTCTGTCTGGTTGTTCTACCTATGATTGAAAGAGGTTTATTGAAATCTCCCACTATTATTGTGTTTCTAGTCCTCCCTTCCATTCTGTCAATGCTTTCTTCATATATTTGGGTGCTCTGCTGTTAGGTGCATATATATTTATAATTGTTATTTCTTCCTGGGGAATTGACTTTTTATCATTATATAATATCCTTCTTTGTCTCTTGTGGCAGCTTTTGACCTAAAGTCTGTTTTATCTGATATAAGTGTGGCCACCCCTGGTCTCTTTTGTTTACCATTTGCATGGAATATCTTCTTCCGTCCTTTCACTTATAGCCTGTGTGTGTCTTTACAGCGAAGGTGAGTCTCATAGTTTCATCTTTCTACATCCTTTTTCTGAAATAAGTCATTGAAGTCTCATAATAACCCTAAGCAGATGGTGCTATTGTTGTCCTCATTTCTTCCCAAAGTTAGAAATATTTATTTATTTAGAATGAGAAATGAAATTATATCAAATAATGTGTCAGAAAGCTGACAAGTACCACACATATCCTAAAATCCATAGAAATAATATAATATTTTTCTTAGTGAACTGCCTGAAAATCCCCACAATACTTTGTTTCCCTATATTTTCCCCTACATAATTCGGTTAACCCCATTTTTAGACAAGGAGACTGAGGCACAGGAAGGTTAGGTAACTTCTCCTGGATCCAATGAAGTTGGCATTTGACTCAGCACTTGACTCTTTGTTATCTATCCTAATACGTAGTTAAACTGAGATTTTGAATGTAGAGGGGTGACGGGCAGAAAATGAATTATCCAAACATGACTTTGAGACAATTAGCCCTTTGGAGAAAGAAATAAAGCTGGCCTACCACACTTGAAACACCAAAATAAATTCTAGAAAGAAAAGATTAAAAAGAAAAAAAATTCCTAATACTAGTGGAAAACATGGGCAAATATTTTTAGGATCCTCTAGTAGGAAATACTTTTTTTTATTATAAATTTATTTTGTTTTATTTATTTATTTTTGGTTGTGTTGGGTCTTCATTGCTGCGCACAGGCTTTCTCTAGTTGTGGCGAGCGGGGGCCACTCTTCATTGTGGTACACGGGCTCCTCACTGCAGTTGCTTCTCTTGTTGCAGAGCACGGGCTCTAGGCATGTGGGCTTCAGTAGTTGTGGCACGCGGGCTCAGTAGTTGTGGCGCACAGTCTTAGTTGCTCTGTGGCATGTGGGATCTTCTTGGACCAGGGGTCGAACCTGTGTCCCTTGCACTGGCAGGCGGATTCTTAACCACTGTGCCATCAGGGAAGCCCCAAGAAATACTTTTGACTACAGAAAAATCTGAAATTTCTATAAACAAAAATGCCATAAATAAAGTTAAAAAAAGAGACAAATGACAATTTGTAACACACGTAAAAGTTAATTGCCTTAATTTAGAAAAACCTCTTAAAAATCAGTAAGATAAATTAGAAAGACCATAGTTCACAGAAAAATAAATGCAAAGGTCAGTCAATCAATAAACATGAAAATAATGCCTGCCCTTTCTGATATTTAAAGAATTACACATTGAAACAAGTTGCCCTTTTCAACTTGCATATTGGCAAAGTTTAAAACTTCGATAATTCACAGTGTTGTCAAGGGTTGGGGGGTGGTAACAGGCACTCTTCACGCGTGGCTGGGCAGCGCAAACTGGTTCATCGTCTTTGGAGGACAATTTGGCAATATCAGAATTTTAGATCCACCTAACTTTTGACTCCTTACGCCTAGGGATTTATCCTACAGCTAACCTCACACTTATGCACAAAGATGTATAACCAAAGCTGTTTACTGCAGCTTTGTTTGTGCAGCAAAAACGTAGAAACAATCTAAACGTCCACCAACAAGGACAGATTCGTGTAAATCATAGTGCGTCCTTCAGTGGAACATTATGAACTGCTACAGGAATGCAGGATCTGCCTCTTGGTTTGCAGAGATGTGTGATGTATACTAACTAAGAGACAAAGATAGAGTACCAGGAATATGGTCCTGGTTGGGTTTAAAATAAAGATGCAGGCATAGATATATATTTGTCAATATTTATGGAAAAATCCTTGAAGAAAACAAACAGGAAAGTTAACAATGTTTATGTTTGGGAGTGGAACAGAGGTCTGGAATAGCAGGGAGACTTTTCATTCTGCATTATTTTGAATGGTTTGATTTGTCCCACCGTAAGTATGTTATTTTCAGAATTCAAAAAGTGAATTTAAGAAAAACTATTTATACAGAGAGAATACTACTTAAAATGCTCCCTGAACTTTCTTTATAAATTTACTTCTCAGTGGGTTCACCTCTCCTTACATTCATAATTTTACACCTGGAAGGGCCCAAGAGGTCATCTCCAATCTGCATTTTGTCCACGAGGAAAATGAGACCCAGAGAGGTTTTCAGGGGCTGCCCAGGGCCCCTGACGAGTCTGCTGCAGAGACTGGGCTCCTATGATGCTGCTTTTAGGGGAGGGACTGATGACCCCCTCATGTGTATGATCAAAGTTTCATCCTTGGACTTGTAGACCCTTTCCCAGCACATAGTGCAGCGGGTCCTAGTTCATTTGCACTCACGTGGGAAACCTGTTAAAATGCATGTTCCCAGGCACCTTCCTGGAGATGGGCTAGGATAGGGCCCTTAAACCTGCAGTTTAGCAAGACCTCCGCCTCAAGATGATCCTGGTCGTACTTGAAGTCACCTGATGGTTATGGGTCCCTCTGATCTCCCCAGCTCAGCCCTGCAGGCAGTGTCTGTGTATCTAACTGAAGCCTCCACCCCACCGAGGGAAAGTGGGAGTGTTCTAGCTCACCAGGGAGAAGTAGCAGAGCGGACCTAGGTGCCGGGACTCCAGTGCAGTGTTCTGTCCATGGTCCCCCTCCCTTTGGGCCCTTGCCCATCTGCGATGAGGGATGGCTTCCTGGCTCAGCCACCCAGGGCTAGGCAGCTGGATGTGGAGGTGGGGGCAGACTGGGGGTCATGGCTGCATCCTGGGTGTCCCTCACCCCATCAGAGCTCCCCTGAGTCAGGCCTTGTGGGAACGTGCTGACAAGCATGTTTGACCTGGGAGGGGCCTGGCCTGCTTGGGCTGGGGGAGGAGCCACAGGGAGGCTCAGGGAGGACTGGAATCCATGCCCGCCTGCCCTGAGAGTGCTTCTTTGTCCCTGTGCCACAGAGCCTTGGAGGACCCATCTTTGTGGTCAGGAATTAAGCAGGGACTCAGCCGGGACGCTTGGAAGCACCTGAGGACTGATTAAGAGGAGGGAGAGCCAGTGACAGGCCATCTCCTGAGTCCCCGACCTCACCTGCTGCTCCAGGTAGGTGCTGTTGCCGTCATCCTGCCCAGCAGGGCAAAGCCCCTACCACCCGCTCCTTCCTCAAGCCCATGGCCCGTGGCTGTCTAGTCCACGCTTGAGCAAAGGCCCTCCCCAGCCCTCCTAAATCCATAGCCTAACAGGAGAGGCCAGGAAGGACACTGTCCCAGGTGACCCTGGCTCCTGAGACCTGGGAAAGGGGCCAAAGACTCTCTGGCTCTGGTTAGGATGCCCCCAGCCCGAGCTGCTAGCTGAGTCCCGAGTGGCTCCTGCCCAGCTGACTCCAGTTTGGGAACGGGCCTAGTCCCAGCCTGACAAGGCTCTTCTGAGAGTTCCCTGCCTCTTGACAATTTTTCCTTGGGAAAAGGTTAAGACAGATGGTATCTTCATAGACTGTTGGAGCTGGAAGGACTCAGTGATATGTTCCAACCTCAATTTCTTTTAACTTCTCAAGCATTACTTATATGAATAGTGTCATTTAAAATGGTGTAGGCGAACATCTCAGAGGAATCAAGCGTAATCTTGTTAAAACAGCACAGGAAGCCCTGGGTCTCAGGGCCCTTCCTGGGTGCAGCGGCCTCCTCCCCACACGGCCTCAGCCACCCTGAGCCCCTGCTCCCTCCCTTTCCTTCCATCTACCTGGTGACTCCCAGAAACTCATCCTTCTTTGCGAAAGGGACGCTGGTGGTGATCAGACCTCCAAAGCTCGAAGGTGTTAAAGCCAGGTTAGCATCAAAATGAGGCTTTCTCTCCTATTTAAGTAAATAAGTGAATACATAAAACCAAGGAAGGATTGGATAGTCAAGGGAGGCTATAACTGTGATAAGATTTCTTTGTCTGAGAGTCTCTAAAATTTCTTTTCCATGAAAGAAGTTATCCTGTATGGGCTCTTGGCCAAGAACATTGTGATTGTTGCTTTTATCAATAAAAGTGATCTGAGCTATAGTTCTTTTCAGTTCAGATCAAAGTGCTTGATGTTCACATCTCCCTTGTACTCTCCTGGTCCGGCCTTGTGAGAGCCCTCCACGGCAAGGGGTCTAAACCGCAGGCAGTGTTCCACTTCTCTTCCTTTGGCCCTGCCCACCGCCCAGGCCATGCTGGACCCCTGTTCCCCCAAGCCAGATCCCTGTGAGAGGCAGCATCAAATAATGGTAAAGGAGGCAGGCTTGGGAGCCAGGTGAGTTCAGCTCCCAGCTCCACCACCTACTAGCCTTGTAATTTCTCTACACATCAGTCTTCTCATCTGTAAAATGGGAATAACAACGTACTACCCCCTAGGGTTACTATGAAGAGAAAAGTTGATATCTGTAAAGCACTTGAAACAACTCTAGCACTCAGTAAGTGAGTGCTTGACACGTTAGCTCGGATCATTATGAAAGCCTGTTCTCCCCCAACCATGCTTTGCTGCCTGATTCACCTCCCTAAACCACCGCGCAGTCATCTCACTCCCCTGCTCTAAAATCATCCGTGGCTCCCCGTTGCCTATTTAGTGACTGCTGAATGTTTGCTGAGAGAGAGAGTTTCTACCCTCCAGGTAGGTTAACTGTGTTCCTCGGCTGGGAACCCACAGCGGGAGTTTTGATCCAAGCTCTTTGGCCTCCCCACTGGTGGGGAGCTAGATCTGTACACAGGGGTAGGTTTGGTTTCCCTGCATCTGCTGGGGCCGCAAAGCCAGGGAGCCCTCTTTTGGACTCCAGCTCTCATGGTGCACACCGGAGTGAGGAGAGGACGCCTGGCCACGGGCCAGAACGGGCAGTGTTCACACCCTGATGAGCTCAGGCCAGGTGGCAGGTGTGACGTCATTGTCCTCGTTCATCATTGGGACGTGGCCAAAACTTCAGCTTCCATAGCTCAGGTGGGAAGCCCGAGGCCAACAGAGACCACCCATGATGTGGCACCTTGGACAGAGAACTCAGCAAGCTCCGCTCTGCTCCGCGCATCTCAGCTGCTTGTCCGGCAGAAGAGAGGCCATGTGCCGTGGAGGAGCAAGCACTGGGTTGGAGGAGGATAGATACATGTTCAAAATGGGGCTCCTCATCTGGTGGGAAGAACTTGGCCTTATCCATTAGCTTCTCTGAGCCTCTATTATTCCATCTGTAACATGGGAGGGTAATTCCCACTCCATAGGGCTGATGGGAAGTCAGAATGGAACAAAATGCCTAGAGCCCCTGTATAGCGCATGCAGTGCTGGAAGCTCGTTAATGTGCAGTTATTCTGATGAGTCCATCCGAGTTGTTCTTCCAGGCCACCGAGTGGGGTTGCCTTAGTCCTGCAAGCTTCTTGCTTCCCTTAACTGAAATTTTCCTCGACTGGCCCCCACTCCAAGATGAAGGGAAGTGGTGGCATTTTGGGCAGCATAAGGAAGAAGGAACAGTCCAAATCTTCTCAGACTCCTGGCAAGGGTGAGAGGCGCAGCAGGGAAGAAGCAGAATTCTGTCTGATTTTCTCAGAGATTTTTCCACTCAGGCACTGCCAAGCTTAGGAAGCCAGGAGCGAAGTGACAGGGAGGAAACAAACCAGACTGTGCTAGTTCGTGCTGGGTGGTACTTTTCTCTTGATGCATTCCACACATGAATGGATTTTTTGGGATTCCAGGCACTATGCTAGGCACTGGAACATTCAGCAGCAAGTAAAACAGACATGGACCCTGCCCTCAAGAGGCCTTCATTCTAATGAGGGTGGGGCAGACAATAAACAGCATAAACCATGGATGAAGTATGTTAGAAGGCAATGAATGTGATGGGAAAACAAAGAAGGCAAAGGGGATGGGGAGTGCTGGGGAAATTGAGTTATTAAATAAGGTCATCAGGATAGGCCTCACCAAAAAGGTGACATTTGAGACACCAGTTGTCTGATCCCCTTGGGAACCCCTGAGAAGTCTGTGGACTCAGAATCAGGGCCAGGTGCCTTTCGGGAGCTCCTAACAGAGGAGCAAAATCTAGAATCCCTTCCAGTCTCAGCCCAGATAATGTCATGCTCTTCCTCCGAAACCTTCAATAGCTCCCTACTGCCTGCACAATCAAGTGCAAATCATTCAGCCTGAAATCCAGGACCTCATGGTCCCCAACCTGCCTATTATCTTACAAGATTCTTCCCACCCCACTTCTGCAGCCAAGCCAGTCTACCTGCTATTTCTGGAATATTCCATGCTATGCTTCCCTTCTCCACTCACTTGTTCCCTCTGCTTGAACTGCCCCTGCCCCCACTGGTTTCTGCCAGCCTAGGAATCCCACGTGCCTTTCTCTGAAGCCTTCCCTGGCCCCTGAGGCTGTGGTCTTTTAGCCCCATCACCTTGGCTTGTACCTTTCTCTTTGCGTGGCCCTTATGCTGCCTTGGGTGTGGGCACTGGTTTAACTGTCTGATCTCCCACCTGACAGGCAGAGCCCAGCAGATACAGGGCTGAGTGAACATTGGCTGAGTTGAGTGTGCCCAGGCTCAAAGGCCCGCAGCAACACTGAGACAAGCTGAGAGAGCCTTTGCCTACTCAGACAAAGAAGGCAGAAATGGGAGGTGAGCAGGAAAGGAGAGAAGGAACTAAAATGTAGGTAAGATTTGATGGAGAAGCTAGTGAAGGAAGGGGAGAGATAACGCCCCACCATATTTTTCCCAGACAGGCGAACTGTCAAAGACACAAGGTTAGGCCCCTCTTCTTCCCCAGAAGACGGTCTCTCTTCTCTCGTGAGCATCCTAGGCCAGTGCTTCTTGGTTTCTAACTAGAATACGTTTTGCTGCGGCTGGAGCTCATTTCCTCTGGCTCTATCCTCTGGATTCAGGTCACTATTTGAGTACTCATTTAGCATGGCTCAGAGTGGCTTTCCTTACCCCTCACCCAAGGGGCAGGAGCAAGGTTGTAAGGAGGCTGGCCCCTGGCCTGGGGGCTTGTGTTCTACTTGAGGAGGTCAGGGACCCCTAGAGCCACACAGAGACTGCCTGGGGGCCACGTGAAGTCATGGAGGTTGTGCCAGCCAGTCACCCCTCAGCCTGTCTTCAGGGCTAAACTTCATCACAAACAAGTCTGTACATAGCGGGCCGCACCCCTGCAGCATTGGGAGTCTCAGGCCCCTGTGTCCGCACTTTGGCCCCGGCCAAGTGAAGCCATGTGAGGCAGACCTGCAGCCTCTGCCATCAGGCTCCCACCGTTCACTGGAGCAGCTGCACTCAGAGAGAGAGCACCCTCCCTCTGCCTCTGTCCAGCTCCTGCCCAAGGCAGCAAGGCAGCCAGTGGGCTGTCCCTTCCTAGTCTGCTGCCCTGACGGAGGGGTGGTGCCTTTCCAGCAGGAAAGCCTGGACACAATCTGAGCCCACCACCCTCTCTGCAGGGATGCACACATGGTCTCCTCCTGGAATGTCCTGCCCCGGCCTCCACACCACAGCTCCTCTTTCAGGTCAGGATCCCCATAGATCCTCGAGGCTGGGAATGAGGCTGCAGACTGGGCTCACATCTCCCTTCAGTGACAACAGTTCCCGTTTTGGGATTGTTGTGAGGATTGAAAGAGCTCATGCTTGCAAAGTCTTAGCACAGTACCTGGCAGTAAGGTTTTAATTAGTGTAGCTACTGCTGTTCTTCCCTTAAGAGCTGCCTTGGCTGGAACCTGCCCCAGGCAGCCTTTCCAGATTGCCCCAGGCTCAGTCACGGGCTCCTCCTCAACGCTCCCAGCATCCCTTCAGCAGGCCTCCTGAGTCCACTTATGCAGACGTGTCGTGGTTTCTTTGGGGGTCTGTGTACCCACCAGAATCTTGTGCCTAGACTGTAAGTGCCTTGAGTGCAGGGAACAGAGTCCATTATTTTGCTGAATAAATGATTTCCTGAGTGACAGGTGGGTAACTGTGAGAGACAGACTGTGAGAAGAGGATTAAGCCTGCCAGCCCTGACTTGGCCAGGGCCTGTCCTAAAAGAGCTGGAAGCCTGCTGCAAGGCCTACGCAAGGGGGAAGAGGAACCCCATCCCCTGTTGTATGGTCTAACACAGTGATTCTCAAAACAAGGTCCCAGGTCCATCAGTG